GATGCTCACGCTGCTCAGCTCGTCGCACTGCTCCTCCTCGCGATCTCGCGCCGCCTCGCGCTCAGCACGCGCCCCAGAGGCCACGCTTGCGCGGACACGGATGGGAGCGCCGAGGGCATCACCCTGCTCGACCTTGATGGCATCCTTCGTTGCGAGCACGAGGCACTCGAAGAACATCTTGGTCGCGTCGGCTTTGGTGGTCCGCCTCTCAGGGAGGAGGTCCTGGAAGACAACGGACGTCTTGCTGCGCTTCTCGTCGTCGTTCTCGGCGTCGGCGCCGAAGAGGTCGCGAAGAATGTGTACGGCATGCTTGGTGCCGAGCGACACAGGCCCGCTGTCCTGAGGGTGGACGATGGGGGCGACCGTGTCGTCGAAAGCGGGTATCGTGTTACCCTCAATCTCGCCGGTCTGGCCATCATCATCGCCCATCTGGAAGCCCATGTCGTCGTCATCAGCAGCGATCTCGAGTACCGTGCCGTCATCGGCCACGATGCTAGATCTGTTGAGGCCAGCATCGCCAACAGCAAAGTCGTCGTCCTCGCCGATTTCCAGGCGTGGAGACTTGGATGCAGCGTTGTCATTGTCGCTCTCCATATCAGCAATCCCGCTGTCGCGTTTCCTCTTGAGCTCTGGCGCGCGTCCAGGTCCGAAAGACAGCAGGCCCCGCAGTTCAGGTGCCCAGGCCGCACTACGACCGTCGAGCAAGATATTGGAGACGAACCCGCCGCTCTTCTGCATATCAACCAGGGCCAGCACGAAGGGATCCCTTGGCAGGAAGGACTGAGGCTTCAGGATGTTATCGCGATTCGCCTGCTGTTCCTTGATGGCATTGCTGGACAGCATGGTCTGGTCGTCTGGAACCAGCACCTTTCTCTTCCTCGCCCTCTGCGTGTGACGCACCAGAGACTGATCTTGTTCTTCGGTCGGCTCGTAGAGGTCCGCGTTCTGCCATTGAGAAACTTCCTCGTTCAGTCTCGCGGTGATGTCCTCGTCAATGTCGGAGAGGGGCGACTCAGAGATGCGCGCACGATTGATGTCCGGTTGAGCCAAAGGAGCGGGAAGCTCAGAGTGATCGACATCGTTGAAGTGGAAGTCGGCATCGTCCATGCCCATGGTAATGTCACCGTCATTGTCGGCAATACGTGGCTCTCCATCACCAAAGTCGAGGGCCAGCGACTCCTCGCGGCCCGGTAGGTCCTTTTGACGGGCGGTCACATCTAGTTCGCTGAATACGTCGTCCTCTGCTGGTCCGCGCATCTGGCGCGTCACGACCCATTTCGATGGTGTTCTCTATCCTGGTGAGGTCGTCGTCGCCATCGCCAAAGTCAAGGT